TTAAAAGTTAGCAGGGAAATTGTGCGATAAATTCCACTGATTTTTATAAGCTCAGCTGTTAAAGTCCGCGGTGAAAAGACGGGAATTATAATTATGCTCACTTTAACGAATAAGTAGAAGCATAGCGGAACAATGATGAATTATCCTCGGTGTGTGCTATGCATATCGTCTTTATATTAACTGCAGGCTATTCCTCTCCGAGCCGGTCCGATCGTCTCTTGTCCGTGAGGTAAGCGAGAATTCACATGTATGTGGAACCACCAGGCAGTCAGTCGTGTGTGACTGTTTATGGTCCCGTTGATCACTCTTTCTCCGCGCTAGCATATCTCGACAATGTCATCAGTGCCGAGAGTGTTATCTGTGTCCAAGCATTTCGATTCGCATGTCATATCATCTTGTTGTTGTCAGTGAATCAAACTTGATGACTTGTCTGAATCTCAGTGCGTGTGTCTGAAGGCGACAGCGAAACACTTATTTGACCTGGCCACATTGGCATCACATTGCACCGCGCAATACTCCACTGTGTCACACGAGATGAAATGTAATCTGACCCATCTGTCAAGTGGGAACCTAACTAGTCACGAGTAGACGTTGGCGCTACCTGTAATTTGGGCGAGCCCCCGTTTAACATCGAGTGATTAGATAGTGGTGTCACGCGTGTGAAAATGCGATCCGTCTGGCAGGCGGTAATGTAGCGCTTACAAGTGTTTCTAAATGGCTACCACTTGGTCATTCGACATGATTTTGCTTGAGGTCCCCTGGTATGGTTGCGAGTAGAGATATTAGTTGACATACCAAAGGTCCCTGATTCAGTTTGCATTGTCAATGTTACGAGTGGGCATTTGTTCACACTTGTGTATGGACTACCACAAACTGAATGGAGAAACAGTCACCCTCTTGAGCACTAACACTACGAACATGTGCGTGTATGGGTTAAAGTGAAAGAAAGACAGCCATATTCCTCTAGTTTTGTAAAGTCGCACGTACAACTATAAGCGACCACTACAACCATCGGTTGTTAGTTAATGTTTGGATGTAAACCTAAATGGCAGCCACCCATGGTTGGGGGCATCCGGTTTCGGATTTGCCTGTCACTGTGGCCAGCCACCAGACGCCTGCGACTACAGAGGGACCATGGATGGTTTGCGCTGCATCACCTACAGCTCCATCCACACCCCTCATATCCATTGGAAACCCGAGGGAATAAGACCGGGAGGCATGCGGATGGGAGCCACGTTCGATCAACAGAGCCGGCCCACACTGCTTCACAGGCAAACACATGCACGCTGTATTTGGAAATCAAGCGCACACAAAGCGGTGGTTGGACCATAGTCCGCTCCACACTGAGTGCATGGAACCACACTTCGAGCCTAACAAGGGCACAAGGACTGTGCACCCCGTCCCCTCCAGCAAGGACCAACTGTCTCCCAGAGTTAGTATGAACGAGGTAGTGGGTAATAGACATGTACATCAAGCGCAGCCACACCGGAGATGTCAAACGACAGTCAGTCATTTGAAACGACAAGATTAAATAAAATAAATCCAATAATGCATACAGATACAATGGCATAACTCTTCGCTAAACTAGCATATGAAGTAAGTCGGTTAGCAAAGAATCCGCGATAAGTAAGAAATGTCCACAAGTTAATTAAAAATGCTACAAGTTACCGAAGATAAGCGCAATTAGCGTAAGCAACGTGGCCAGCTAATAGAAGATTATTCAGGTAGGCAGAACAAACCAAATAAAGTGGAATGAAATTTAGCCAGCTTAGAATGACCCAGTTTAAGTGCACTTTGGTTTAGCCCAACTGCGGTCTGGAAGCATCATGAATGCAACATCGTCCTCAGCACCCATATGGTTGGCGGCATCCGGTTTCGGATTTGCCTGTCACTGTGGCAAGCCACAGGACGCCTGCGCCTACAGAGGGACCATGGATGGCTTGCGCTGCACCACCCACAGCTCCAACCACACACCCATATCCAGTGTAAACCCGAAGGAATAAGACCGGGAGGCATGCGGATGGGAGCCACGTTCGATCAACAGAGCCGGCCCACACTGCTTCACAGGCAAACACATGCACGCTGTATTTGGAAATCAAGCGCACACAAAGCGGTGGTTGGACCATAGTCCGCTCCACACTGAGTGCATGGAACCAGTCTTTGATCCTAACACGGGCACAAGGACCGTGCACCCCGTCCCCTCCAGCAAGGACCAACTGTCTCCCAGAGTTCGTATGAACGAGGTAGTGGGTAATAGACATGTACATCAAGCGCAGCCACACCGGAGATGTCAAACGACAGTCAGTCATTTGAAACGACAAGATTAAATAAAATAAATCCAATAATACATACAGATACAATGGCATAACTCTTCGCTAAACTAGCATATGAAGTAAGTCGGTTAGCAAAGAATCCGCGATAAGTAAGAAAAGTCCACAAGTTAATTAAAAATGCTACAAGTTACCGAAGATAAGCGCAATTAGCGTAAGCAACGTGGCCAGTGTATAGAAGATTATTCAGGTAGGCAGAACAAACCAAATAAAGTGGAATGAAATTTAGCCAGCTTAAAATGACCCAGTTTAAGTGTACTTTGGTTTAGCCCAACTGCGGTCTGGAAGCATCATGAATGCAACTTCGTCCTCAGCACCCATATGGTTGGCGGCATCCGGTTTCGGATTTGCCTGTCACTGTGGCAAGCCACAGGACGCCTGCGCCTACAGGAGGACCATGGATGGCTTGCGCTGCACCACCCACAGCTCCAACCACATACCCCATATCCAGTGTAAACCCGAGGAATAAGACCGGGAGGCATGCGGATGGGAGCCACGTTTCATCAACGGAGCCGGCCCACACTCCTTCACAGGCAAACACAAGCACGCTGTATTTGGGGAATCAAGCGCACACAAGGCGGTGGTTGGACCATAGTCCGTTTCACACTGAGTGCATGGAACCAGTCTTTGATCCTAACACGGGCACAAGGACCGTGCACCCCGTCCCCTCCAGCAACGACCAACTGTTTCCTGGAGCCAGTGCGGACGAGGTAGTGGGTAATAGACAGGTAGGCACCTTGTCAACATGCACATCAAGCGCAGCCACAGCTGGGGTGTCAAACAACAGCCAATCATTCGAAATGCCGATATCCATTAAAGTAAACGCATATGACGACATAAATACTCGCTAAATGGGCATATAGAAAAAATTGGTTATAAGTGAATCGGTGATAAGTACAAAATGTCCGAAGTTAGTTAAAAAATACCACGCGATAAAATTACGCAAGTTTACCACCATTTGCGTGAGCCACGTGTGCAAGTGAGGAGAAGATTATCAAGTACGCAGAACAAACCAAATAACATGTAATGAATTTTATCCATATTAAAAGACCTGGTTTAATTGTAAGTTGGTTTAGCCCAACTGCAGTGAAGAAGCAGGATGAATGCAACATCATCCTCAGCACCCATACAACCATACATAATCACTGACCCAGATTCATCTACGGCCCCAGTCTTGGTTTGACCAGTGCAATCCTTACCCATTATCATCTCTTTTTTATCTTGTGTGTTTGTTATGTTTACTAAACTGAAGCTAGTGGCACTATGACCTGTGTGTCCATTGACCGGCCTACGCGCTCATCGATCCTCGTTCCTTAGGACCAGTCAACCGCTCCTGGTGTCTGTTTATCTGAGGGCTGCTGATGGTTCACTTGCATGGGATTTTTTTGTATGCTTGTTCATGGTCACACACTGGGCTTCTGTCCACCGAGACCAATATTTCCCCATGTTGCGTGGTCACGAGTTAGGCCAGGGTTCCATCGCGAATCGTCGTGTGATTCAGCACTTGCTCCCCACTGCTTGATCTCTTTTTCTGTCTGATTTTCTGTGCGCGCATTTGCATGTGTCCCATCTGCAAGTACACGTCTCGGACCACTGATTGTGTTACCTTGGTGTGCTACACCTGTTCGCTTTTCAACATCACCGGTAATATTGCACTCGGCAGAAGCTGCTCCTGTATCGATGTTTCCATTTTTTGGCTCAAATTCACTTACAGGTAGCGCAATTGAACTGTCTATCCTTTCTCATTCATGTACTGAGCTCATGTGTGACATTCTGTACTTGGTTGTAAAGCGGATCAGTTATCCAACAAAGCTGCGTCTTACGTTTATTTCGGTCATGTGGATGACAGCATAGATTACGCTGCACCACATTATAAGTAATCACCTTGACCACTTGAGGCGATGGTTTCAGGCTTCTCAACAGGTCATCATCATCATACACGTTAGCTAGTAGTGGGGAACACCTCGGCTACTGTGTCGCAATATATAAAGGAAAAAAGGAAAATAAGTACAACAGTTGCATGCCAGCTGAGCTATCAGCAACGGATAGGCATCGTTCCGGTAAGCTACCAGCCGGCTACTAGGCAAAAAGAATAATTATTGTGTTTTACGCTAAGAAATGAGATCGTAGGTGGAGGGGGAGGCTAAAAGGGATGGGCAGGGACAAAGAAACTCACAGCAGGAACGCCACTGAGGCCGGCTTCTTGCCGTGTCAGCAAGTGTATCCAACCAAACGTGTTCACCGTCTTTTGGACTCCAACCAGGGAGCCGTGACGCTCCAACCGAGGCTAGCTCCGAAGTGAGGGCTTTCATTCCTCTGGACCAAGTCATCGCTTGGCCACCCCTCCTCTTCTTCCATCCACATCCTCGGTGAGCAAACAACACACGTTGCGGGAGTCGGTGGGCTGGCATGCGTAACACGTGGCCCAGCCATCGGAGTCTGGTGCGTGAAATAACGGTGCTGAGTGGTTCATTTCCTTTTCCTGTGCCGTAAACAAGGCGTCGAACACGCTCGTTGCTCATGCGGTGTTCCCACTGCTGGCGATTCCGTCAGGGACGGGACACCCCTCAGATGCTACTCCATACGTCACCAGCTGCGAGGGCGTCTATTTTTCTGATTATTTTCTTCAACCCTTCATTTCTGCACTCCTTTCTTTCTCTTTCTAACTAGCCCTCTTCGTTGTGGGGGCACGGTGATGCCGACAATCAACACGAATCAGTCAGGTGTACCGCAAAAACCACTTCCTGCCATTCCGACCACCCAGCCAGTTGCTATGCCGCCGGAACCTGCTCCTTTGACGAACCCGTCAACACACGCTGCGGAATATACTCCCCGAGGTCACAAATTGCATAAGTGAGTTGCGATACATACGGCTTTGCGCTGATCCGGCATTGCGTTCGCACCCAGCTTAAGTGCGATTATCTGTTTTGTGTCTGACTTGGGTCATCGTGCTGACTCACTCTTATCTGTCATATCTCACTGTATTATCACGTTTGGTTTTGACAAGCTGCATTACGGCCCATCCGCAAAGCGTTCACCCATACATGCCTGCTGTCATGCTCTTTCGATGCTACGAAGTTAGTTGCGTATGCTGGATATTTGTGCCTTGACAATCCATCCTCCCGACATCTCTGGCAGACTGTGCATTGCCCTTCGACTTTTTGGCCTAGGTTTTCTTCGCTTCACTGCGCTAGACAGTGATATCACATACAGTGTTCGGGAGTGGGGGTTTATCTGCTCTAGCCTAGTGCCTGTGGTGGCCACAATTTCCCCAAGTCATTCGCAATTGATTCCCTACTCATTTCACTCCTTGCTTTCTTTCCGGTTGCTTGCCTAAACAATCTGAGCGCCAATGCCGCATGTCCTACTTTCTACCCTTCCGGCGAAAGTGCATCGCTACACTATGCTAATTACTCGAAGCTACACCAGTTCGCTGGTTTGGCGCTGATTGCGCTTTGATGACATCAGGTTACATCACACCTCTTGTCCTGGTCACTTCAATCCTGAACACTCTCAGTGCGTTATTCCGGTGCATTCCGTGATTTCGTCTTACAATCCTGTGAAATGAGAACTCTGTTGGAATTCCCTCATGACCGGATTCTCCGTTTTGATTTGAAACGCCCTTCTATTTCGTTATTATACTACTTTTTCAAGGCAAATTGTCACTCCTAGCATTGCTGAACGATGAGTAGGCGTGCAATCAACTGCTCTGTTCGCTTGCAGCAAGCTAGTCGCCTGTTTCGCCTTGTAAATCCGCATTGTTCTTGTGTTTACACAATCCCCTCATAGTCATCATTCCTTTTGCGACGGTGACGACTTCATCAGTACATTTTTCTATTGAACTTCAGTTTAGCGATTACTCCCGGTCCCTTGTCTCGTACCAGCATTTTTCTCTCTTCTTGGAACAAAGAAATGCGAACTGCAGCAGAATTGAACGATGTATCCGTGTACATAAAACGCTATCATCGATTGTCACCTATCCTTGGCTCAAAAATCAATCACCCATTTTGGGGCTGGTCGTATCACCTCGAAGCGATATGTTGTGCTGTTTGTTCCATTGCTGCAACCGTAATTCACGAACTTCCTGTTTTCATGTCCCGGACAGCAAAAGCTTCCACAATGTGTACACACGATGATCCTCATATGTGTGAAAGTCCCCTAAATTACCAGCGACTTCCGGTGCACTTCACGGACAGCAATGATGGGCGCATAAAAACTGACGTCTGCTCACGCATTGCAAAAGCCAGAGCTACCTTCTTGAACCTGCGGCATCTCTCGCGACAAAAGGGAATTTCCCTCCATCTGAAAGGCCGTGTATACAGGACCACAGTGAGGGCCGTTCTGCTCTAGGGTAGTGAGACTTGGCCCCTTCGGTCTGAAGATCTGAGGCGCCTTCAAGTCTTTGGTCATCGTTGTTGCGAAGCATTGCTGGTGTCGGATGGCACCAGCGTGTCCGCAACGATGATGTGCGTAGCGAGTACTAGGTGGTGATAATCATGCTAGCTCCCTAGAACAACAGATAGCACTGAATAAGTTAGCGTTGGCTCGGGCACGTGCTACGCTATGCCTGGTCACCGCTTACCTACGAGGGCCTTGTTCAGTCTACCAGGTGTAGGATGGCGCAAGGCTCGAGGTGGACAGAAGTTGACTTGGCAAGCGGGAAATAAGTCACTGACGGACCAAACTGGGTGCAGTTGGTCCGTCTCGCCTTCCGGGTTGGAGTCCACGTGACTCTCGCTTTTGCTTGGCTCAAGACTTTACAAGACATGGCTCGCAACCGACACCAGTGGCGCGTCTGCTGCCGTCTCCTAATCGGGATTGCCTGTTTAAAGTGTGTTTGGTGCTGTGTTATCTGCGGGGTAATGGCTGATTATGACGCGTGGCAGTGAAAGCCGCAAGGAAGCTGTCTCGCCGATGCCGCCTTATCTTTGCACGATAGCCAGCTGTTTGTGACGGTATGTTGTTAACACAAGGTGTAGGCGCCTTGACCCTGAATGTTGCTTAGGG